TCCTCGTTATCCGAGCACATTTTTCGTCGCTGCTCTGAATGCCAAAGTTCAAACGGTGGCTCAACGGCCAACTTGCCAAGAAAAGGGATCCAATCCCGACCCATCCTGATTCCAGCTTCCTGTCTCCGATTTTCGGGTCCCATGTGTGCCGTGCGAGAACTTCGCTTGGTTTGCTTCGCATTTGTTTGTGTATTTGGGCACACGTCTATTTGTGCTGCCTGTCGGGCCTACCATACACACTGCCAAGGACAAGGACGAATCCGAAGGATTTGCAACCTCCTCACATGCGAGTTGTGTGTGTGTGGGCCTCTCTGAGAAGCTTGTGTTTGCCCAACTGCGGCGAGGGCGGCAGTTTCTTGAATAATGCAAAATAGTAGCATCAAATAACGGCACCAAAAGTGACTTAAAGTTTTAATGAAAATGCCAGGCTCAGGCAAACATCACTTTCTCCTCTTCCCTGCCATTGCGGCCCATAACACTCATACATTAAATTTTATGTGGCTTTATGGCAATGCGCCGTAGTGCATATTAAATATTTCCATAAAATAGGAGCCGCTTCTTCCACCATTAAACCTGGAAATTTTCAAATAATAATTGAATTCGACGCTTCGATTCAATTTAACAGCACGCAAATTGGCATTTCGAGCACAAACTTTAGCTGTCATTTGGGCCCCGAATTTATGGTCAAATCTAAGTCCCCAACTTGACCGGATATATCCCGGAGTTGTGGCTGCTTATTGATTAAGCCATTTAGGTGGCCCCCAAAACTCAGTTAGTATCTGTGGACTCCTGTGTGAGACCCATAACCGAAAGTCTAATGACCACAAACTTTGACCAAGATGTGGTCCAATGTGGTAACTTGGCCAAAACAAAAATGGTGGCTTAAAATCTACTTAACTTGAGGTTTCCATGTGGATTATTCACAGGTGAGACCAACCTATTTACCCTTCGAGCAAGAGCATTGCTCATCTCGTATTGCCTAATGCGGTTTACTTTGTTGGAAAATATTTAAACAGCTTTAGCATTTCTTATTTCCTATTCATCAGCTCATCAGATCTCTGCCATAAATAAGCAATGATACTGTGCTCCATTTGAGGTGACATTTGTCAACCACTATAATGGTGACTAATCCCAAGGATTAGCCAGCCATATGACGCTGCCATGAAAATGCAGTTTGCAGCTTACAGCTGCCTATATTCCAAATGCAGGGGCACGTTGCACGACTTCAATAAATCAGAGGCGTGTCGAAATGTTCGACTTTTCGATGATTGATGGGGGTGTTGGCAGAGGTGTGCCCCCGAGAACCGCCCCAAATTCGGTCAATTAGTCAAAACCAAAGCGTTTGCGATGCCAAGCTAGTCCTTGCCATCCCGAACTAATTAAAACACGCTGAGCAAACTCAATGGTTTCTGCGATGGATATGGAGATGGGATGGGGATGGGGATGGGGATGGCGATTGGGATTGGGTTTCGCATTTCTGGTTACGGGTTTGCTGGGAGCGCTGGTAATGGCACGTGCCACCGGGATTAGCGAGGTCGAGACGTTTAGTTTGTGTTATTGATGGGCGGGGTCGAGCCACGCCCTTTGCATATAAATTCACGTCCGCCGCCGGAAGGTCAGCGGTAATCGAGTGTGACAAACAATTCGAACATTTGCAGGTAAATACATATGAAGCGTGGCCAAAAATCTGCAAATACATGCAAGCTCGCAATGAATCATTCGCATTTCAACATATTTCAGTGTGATTAGCCATCAGGATTCCCAGTGCAGACAATGGCTTATGGTAATTACGATGAGCTCGGGTGGCAAAAATGATTGGGAGAGAGTCAGCCAGAGGCATTGTTCATGAGTTTTATATAGGTACTAATGATCTCATCCTCGTGACAATAACCATCTAAGCCACTGAGCATGACCAAATACTCAGTGATCTTTTCTTGAGCCCCGAAACTCTGAACCCATTCATAATTTTAATGTATGTGTATCTAATAATGGCTGCTCATTAGTTAGCGGATATATAAATCGCTATCTAGATGTAAATGGCACACGTTTCGTGAAATTATACCTGTTTTTATTAACTCATCAGTGGTTTTACGCCCTCACAATGATATACTAATTATACAATTAAAAGACAACTTCTGGAAAAGATGAAGTTTAATTGAACAACAAATGTGTCTGCGGTTTGCAAAAATAAAACTAGCTCACAGCATTATATAACGATTTGTATTGTTAGCGTATTGGGATTTCGGAGTCGGTTAGCTCAATCACTCATTTTCGTCTCTAGAGCTTTAACCTAACACCTATTCAACCTAAAACCATTAATTTGTCGTTTTAATTATACAAATTTGCTGAAATGCTTCGATCAATTTACACTTAGACGCGATGGAAGCCAGAATTTTAATTGACGACTTACTGAGGTGCTCGAAATTTACTGGTATTTGAATGAAAATCAAACGCCGTTGACAAGTAGAGTGATGATTAAAGTCAAAACAAACAAAGAAGAACAGAAACGGGCGAATAAATGAGCTATGCAAATAATTGGATTACGTCATAGTTTCAGTATAGGCTACATGTCATACTATAAAACATAGTGCAAATATAACTTCTAACGAGTTCGCAGTGCATAAAACGAGAAATTTCCTGGCTTCCGTACCTCTGAAAACATGATTTCAATCACCGCAGCTGTAAGTGAGTAAGAGGAGTGACAAACCACAAGGGTCGTGGGAAATATAGTAGGTGACCACCCAACCTCAATTCTCGACGCGTGCCCGTGGCTTTGGGCTTAGAGAAATTTAATATAAGCAGTGCAATTAAACGGTTGCCGGTGCCTTAACTATATCATAGGATGCCCTAATGACTGCCTTCTTTATAAGAACACTTGCGTTCTGGGAAGTAGTCACGATGAGCCATGGGCAAGTTATAAAGACTCAAGATTCATGACCCGTGTTTGAGCAATGAGTAATATCAGTGGAAGCCGAAGTATTTTGGAAATCCCAAAGTCTTCGAGTGAAAAGGGTAATACGACGTCAGCAAGTTGCTAAGAGGGATTATTTTATCGGAAAATGAATAAAGCGAAGAGGAATCACCAATTAATACGAATCAAATAAAAATGTAGTGCAAACCTAAGGAGGGGTTCCCCATCTTAAAATGGTTGAACTTGAATCATTTGCCCATCAAAGGGGCACCCACGCAAATGTAGACACGTGAAGATGTTTAATTATGTGCGAACCGAAATGAATCTTACAGATACTTTCAGCTCCAATGAAGACAATGAGCAGTACAACGACACGTTTCGTTTGCTGGTGGGGAAATTATGTGCTCTTAGTCTCAGTCTCGTTCTCAAAAAAGCAGCAAAAGCCCAAAGACAAACAGCATATTTGTGCCCAGACCCCCGCACCAAAAAGCTTACATATGTCGGCGTTTTTTTATATTTCATTTTGTTTGCTTTGTGTTTTGTCAAATTAGCAAAAACTGGTTTACGCAGGTACTCTGTTTAGCCGAAAGCCCGAGGAAGAGCAACGTTGGGGAACTTTGGGGCCAAGAAGACAAACAAAAGCCGTTTTGCTCATTAGCCGTCTCTCCTCCGCCCGGCAGTCAAACAAACTGTCGGCTGTCGCTTTCACCGATATCAGTGGGTTGCGTGGGAAGGTCGAATGAGTTTCTAGCCCTACCACCCCACCACCCACCACCCGACACCCAACAACATCGCCCCACTTTATCTACCGAATAAGTAGTACTGATATAGTACATCACCAGCTATGAACTGTAGTCAGTTCAGTCGACCAGCCAGTGAAACAGAGCAAGCGGCTTACTTATGAAGGGTCCTCAGCCTCGAGATATGGGTAAAGATCTGGGACAGATCCAGTTTGCATCCGAACAGTCTGAAAAACGAGTTTAACTGGCTGAAATATGTATTTTCCCACCTAAACGGCTGTTCTGATCAATGGCAATAGCCAGAGATACAATCGTGATTCAAATAAAAACATTTCACTACAATTGTTGAAGGGTATGCATATTACCACGTTAGTTCGGAACGGCAGTACTTCGTTAATTGACTGATTGCTATCTAACATATAAACAATCGTAAGCCATTTGCTAATAAAAGTTATTTAAAAAAAATTGTATTTATTATTACGAAATGTTATCCATTTTAGTATAAGTTTAACATATAAAAACTACAATGTATTAATCTTTTAATGTGGCTTTCTTCAAGGAAACATACAACATTCTTTAAAAAATATAGATTGCTCCACGGCGAATTTAAACATTTTATTATGAGAGTGCCACATGTTTTGCGACAAGCTAATTAAATAATCTCTGTTTCTTTAAGTGGTGTTATCAAGAAATAAATATTTATATTTTTACTTTATTAAAGCATGCATGCATCAGAAGGGGCAATAAGAAACACCACTAAGTTATCTTGAAAAAAATTCTTCGAAAACTAGAATTTCATGCACGCCGACAAAAAGAGAGGTTAAATAGCGGAGTACTGACAAAATTCGGACCAAAGACAAGCGAGGGAGAGGGTTGAATAACACAAACAAAAATAATTTGCGATTTTTCAGAAATTGCTGCACTGGCAAAAAGCACAAGCCGAGCAAAAGGCCAACTGGTCGAGAGCGAGTCGATAAACATTGGCTCGGTGTGAGAATGCCAAGCCGATAAACCAATCATGAGGCAAAGCGCTCACAAAGCTCATGCTTCGCAGATAGTTCCGATCGCGTAAATGGACAATGGACAAACATATGCTGCGATCTCGAGATTCAACTGAATAGCTGCCAAATACTTCAAAATTTCTCACTGGCCTGAACCGTTCTAGAGAGCTATTCTTTATTTCTCTTAATTTCAGCACATGTATTTTCAGTTCAATTGGCGTTCTGTTTATTCTAAAGTTATTTCGGCGCGATGTGTGTACTTATATGTCTACATATACCAATGTATGCGTTATATATATTTCGTTTGTTATTTTTCCTTTCTTTTTTTTTATCATATATTGTGCTCACTTTTATTTGTTTTTTCTTTTTTAATTTTTTGTTTTGCTTTGGTTTTTTATGTATTTTTTCGCGGATCGCGACGCAGCAGTGTTTACCGCCAGATTTTCGACTTTGCACTGATGATATTCCGCTAGGCATACGACTATATGTATAAACTTCGAGCCAAGCAAAATTTTAATAAGCAAATGAGAGCGAACAAGCTGTGCTCTTAAGCACTCTCTTAAGACAACAATACATCCATTGTAATACCAGTCCCAGACCAGTTATTAATATAATGGGGGACTGATCTGAGTCTCTGCAAGTGGATACGTCACGATCGTCGACAGCGGCCAAAGTCCTTGGTCGCAGTAATTCCAGCGGCAATTTGAGTTTTCCAGACACCCACAATGCGGGTTCTTTATGCCGGAATTCTGATTCACGGCTAGAAACTGACAGCGCACTTTCCGCATAAGGGAACGCCTCTGTCTGAACCCACAGATGGCCGGGATTTCAATTAGAATGTATCCCAATGCATTCACATCTAGATAGATGCAGCGCCGACTAATTCGCCGCGTTTCAAGTCACCACCAGAATCAGCCATCAACGAGCCCCTTCTGAATGCACGACCCAAAACACAAATATGAATCGGGCGGGGGACTGAGATATGTCACGTTTTGCATGACTTTACGGACGCAGAAACGGACTGACAATGACGAATGCTAATTGCACTTTTCGCCATCTCAACGAAATGAACATTAAACGGCTTTCAATCGCGGCTGGAGTTTTCCCATTCGTTGCCATTATGGGCGTCGTGAAAATGTAGACCCATCGACCAATAAAAACCGAAATGCAAATGATGTTTCGAGTAAATGAAAATTCTGAAAGACATTTTATGACGCCATTGGAACTAAACAAATTTTCGAACTTTGCTCTTACTTATTAATGTTAATTAAAAGGCAGAAATTCTTCTTTTTTTTATTGTAATTTTCCATACACAAACTGTATATTTTTATCCTATTCAATAAAATACTGTTTATAGCCTTTACCTTTACACTAATAAAATTTATACAATTGCTTCGTTACACGACCTTATTCTTAATATATAAATTATACATTTATTATATTGATTATTATTAGTTTTTATATATTAGTTTTTATTTCATTTGCATTGTAGAAAGTTAACACAAATTACACTGCTTTATTTAGTATTTTTATAATTTAAGGCATACATACACGTATGTCAAATTTTAGGTATTACTAAAAAAAAGTAAAAGGAAATAAAATTAAAATGTTTTCCAAAATGTCCCCATGATGTAGATTGTAGATATTGCGCTGTTATACTCGAGCCCCAAAACGCAACGCAAAGAAATCGAACGTAAGACATCTACGTTATGACAATGGCCGTGGTGCTCCGGTTAGCGCTATTCGCTTGCGGCACCACAAAGTTTTTCGTCGCGGGTTCGATTCCCACCGAAGTGGAAGGGAAAAGAGAAAAAAATAAGCAGGGATAAAAAATCTATTTTTAATAAAAAATGGTCTCGTTCAATGCGATTTCATCATGGCATAATAGTTTGACTATCCCATAGCCGAACAATTTCCGCATGAATCGCAGATTAATTAAGGTTAATGCACGTGTCTACTGAAATTCCGAATAATGAATGACAGTGTTTCGTGCAATTTCCGTACAATTAAATATACTTTACTACGTATTTTGTTTAATAACAGTTTAATTTATATTTTCTGCCCTCTAGCAACCACAAACTTCGTGGGCAAATTCACGCAGAGTGTGCGCCGAATCGTGCAGGATGTGAAGGACGAGGGGGCGCCCAGTGGAATGACGCGGGACGAGGTGATCGAGACGAACGAGCGCCTGCGATCCTTGCGCCTCCGCCTGGAGGAGTCCTACGAGACCGCCAAGAAAGCCCTGATCAACCTCATGAACAAGTACGGCGACTCGAAGAGCCAGCGCAACATCTTCCAACGCTATCCCATGCTCAAGCTGATGATTAAGGTCGGTAAAAAGTGTGCCTTCAAAACATGTTCACTACCCTTTGCTACAAGATGCACTTAAGTTAACATATGTGCACAGATAATCTTTAGTAGCCTATTGCTACTATTGCTATTTGCTATTGCTAAGCAGCATTCCGCCCACAGGAAGTCATCCGCCTGGAGACCCAGTACTGGACTCTGGTGGACATCCCGCGGCAGGAGAAGCAGGAGACGGTGCCCTCCTACGTGATGCGGGCCTGCTCGATCATGGAGAAGACCCAGAAGTCGGGCGAGGGGGTGAAGACCTCCGCACGCCTGGCAGAGGAGGCGGCCGAGCGGCGGGAGCGGATGGAGCGATTGGAACGTAAGTGAAGTCAGACCCCAGTCCAATGATTTAAGTAAAATATTTAAGGTAAATGCACTCGTAGATATGACAACTGCCCAAATCGAACACGAGAATACGCAGCTAATAAACGACTTGTACCGCTTGCTGAAAAAGTATCTGGGACTGCGACACCTCATCCGTGTGTTGAAGGTGAGTGGCATCCGGTGAAAAGTTCACGTTGTATTTTAATCCGTATCTGAACACGCAGGAAGAGTACGGCAGCTCGAAGATGTATCCGATATTTCCACGCTACACAATGCTGAAGGACATGATAAAGGGCATCATGCACGATCCGGACTACATGGAGGTGTGCCATGAGACACTGGCCAACGCCAACTGAGCCGAGGGCACCGGAAATGGCAGGCGTCGCATGAGTGTCATTTGAGAGGGCCCAAAAACTAATAGCAATACCAATACAAGCAGCAGCATACACGGACGCAGGACCCAGGATTAAAGTCCTGCGAAATGTGTATGCATATGTGCTGAATTCGCATGCGAATTTTCAAGTGATTCCGGAGTGATTTAGAGTTTTCCGAATTTCCGAACAGCTTCTTCGAAACTCCTCCGCCATTGGAGCGGGTTCCTCAAACCTCTTTCGGCCCTTCTTTTAGCCAACACTCAAAGGCAAGCCAAGACAAACTAATCAACTAACTAACCAACTACTAACTAAACCCAGACCCCACCACCCACCACCAACTAAACAAGGAACTATTTACACTACATTATCAGATACAAACACTTCGGCACTGGAGTGCCAGCAAACAAACTAAAAGGCATTTATTTTAATGAACTTTTGAGATGAATACAGTGTTATACCTACAAAAATACAAAATAAAATACACAAGATATTTACTGAAAAAATAGTGAATGGAGCGCTCAAAGACGATGAACAAAAATCAAATCGAGAATCAAACCAAACTTTGTGTAATTTGTATGTACCACTTACAAGAAACTGCGCCTAGTATTATACACATAAATATAGAGCAAGGAATATGGAATATATACATACATATGTGAAGTAACCAAAGATACTCCGAAGCAGATGACTAATGACAAATTGATAACCATTTGATTTGGCTTGACTTCGCCACCTATTTGAGTTTGTTTTAGGTAAAGTACTGGTCGATAGCCGTTAGCTGATTATATTATACTTATTACCAAAGTGTATCAAATTGTATTGAATAAACACCACGCCTAGATGTTAGTTAGACAATATAAGGGAAATATTCCCAATCGGTGTGAGCAAATACTCCTAACACCTTTTAAGGAAACACCAAGCCCCATATCCTAGAACCTATCTGATTGTTGATTTCCTATTTGCCAGTAGCTATTAGTAACTAACAAATGCTTTATGTGTGTATCGAAACGTTCAGCTTTAAGTTCCCTGCAAATGTGCATTTCAAATGTTCGGTTGAGATGTGTGCATTCATGGATTCGTTGTTGTACAATGTACATACATACCTTGTAGCTTTATAATCCCTCGACCCAAACACACATTGCAAACACTTGAACACAAGAGACCAAAGGAAAACCTAGACGAGCTTACAACTTTTTACGAGAGCTAGACTCCCTTATCCTTTTTATGTTATTTTTGCATAGAAATCCAACTCGATTTACTGCTTTAAATTGGCGCCACTAATAGCCGGCGAATGAAAGTGGCAGAAATGGAACCCCTCTTTACCACTGAAACTCCACTGACACACCCACCGATACACAGTGCATATACATATATCTGACATATCTGAGTACAAGCAAATCAGGAACAGATTCGAAAAGCCGCAGCTATCATGAAAGTGCAATTGAGTGCATAAATTACTCGAACAATTGTTTGCTGCCTATTATATGCTTCACAGCATCTGATTGCTGGTTAATTTACCACCACCCTTACTGCTCGATTCCCTAATGCATCCATCGCTTTAAAATATACATATAATTTAACTGCCTGCCTCTCCAAGCGTTTAGTGTGAAAAAACATTTGACGCTAGCCTTTTAATAACCACAAAAACAGCTGCATCAGCAGAAAACATTTATAATAAATAAATAAAATAGATAATTGAATGTTGAACACATAGCAAATCAACTATGCAAATCCATACTATTTAGTGAATTAACAAATTTCCTTTAGATGGTTAAGCCTTAGCGATGAGTTGTGTTGTTTACGTAGTTAAATGTTGAGCATTAAATTTGAATTTAAAAAATGTTTGTCGCCATTTGCATAAGATGGGGTTATTAAGTGAAATTTAAACACGCGATATACACATAATATGAGAACAAATAACATACCACTACGCAATTATAGCTAAACTAATTAAAACTAAACTGTAATGATCAGGTATTAAAGTTATGAAGTTTAATCAAAATATGATAACAAATGTGTGCGTGCGAGTGTGTGCGTGAATGTGGCCAATACAAACTCATTGCAATATAGAATACGGAATAAAACAGTTGGGCAAATATTGCTGCATGCCTTAAGAGGCAAACTTAAATACTATAGTTATATACGACAATGGTATTCGTATTATTATACAACTTATACACGATAAACAACATATACCCGTGTAACCTACTTATACATACAGACCCTCATGAGGAACATGGCCGGTCGGTACTCCTACAAATCCAAAACTTCGTACAATTTTACCTTTTCAACATCTCAGTGTCTAACAAAAAGCATTAAATGTATTTCCGCAAGGGAGTTTCCAATATATTGCATGTATCAGTAAAAATATGTGTCAAGACACTCGATAATATGAGAAAACCGATAAATATATTGATATGCAAAAGGATACAAGTCGTTGTTTCATTTCGGTCATAAATACATACCCACAAAATAAAAAAGGCAGGGTAATAGTCACAGCAGTTACAAACTACAGGGAGCAGAAAGGCAATGACCGCGGTGAAGCAGTTTCTCTGTTTACTTAAGTTTAAATGTTTTATGTGAGCTTAAGAACAATTGGTTCTCACTTTTGAAATTGGTCATGCCGCAGTACGTGAGAGAGGTACCCAGCGACTCAATAACTCTTTCTGAAATAGTTTTTGGTACGACCAAAAATGTTTGAGTAGCGTTGGGTATTTTACACGAATTTTACATACTAAAAAGCGACCTCTACATCTGACTTATAGAACCTGCACAAGACCTAATTTTACGCGTAAGCATTTAGAAATCAAAGTCGTAAGAGCTTCAAAGCTGTGCTGAAACAGGGCTGACATTTTAACTTATTACTACTCGTTTTCCTTAGTTGGAAACTTTTTACAATATTCCATGTCTGTAAAACTATGTTCGACATGTTTGGTTTGCCCTTCATACCAACTTTCTAAGGCAGAAGAGCCTTACAATATTTAATTTTGATTAAAAGACGGCTTAAAATTGTATGTCACTAGAACTTTTGTATGGGACAGATTTTATTCAGATTCTCGGTCAAATATAATCATCACGTTTTAGCGATAGTGTCCTAAACCCTCTTAGTTCACAAACATTTAGATTTGCCATCGAACTCAATCAAGTTACTCATACATTTTTTTACGTGCATACATTTTTAAGTATTTTAGCATTGAACTTAACATAACTTTAAAATTCAGTGGATGTAAATAGTATAAAATTCATTATAAGTGAAACCATACAAATTTGTTCTACTATTATAAAATTTTCAATACACAGCGTAATTAATTAATCTTATTAGCCCAAAATAACTTATTATTTTCAAAATTTTTTTTTATTTTATTATAAATATGCATGCGATTTCGCTGTGTGATACAAACTATATAATCGCCTGGTAAATTTACTTTTTGGCATGGCTCTGCTTGCCAGATGCGTCAGCTTCTGAGGGATCCTCGGGCAATGAATCCACTGACATGGAAGAACCTTTTGATTTTGAGCTGGCATTAGATCGCGAAGAGTTCTTCGGATACTTCACCGCTTTGGTATTGCCGGAGCATTGTAATATGAAGCGGATCTCGTCCAGAAGTTCCGTCTTGAAGCTCACCTGCCGATACGAAAGCGTAGTTGTTAGGTAAACTCTCTACTGATAGAAGGGCGAAAGTAGCATGCAGATGAAATCTACCATAAAGCATTCATGAACAAGGCATTGTAATATACAAGTACAACAAAATGACATATTAGAAAAATTGAAATATTAAAGACGACACAAATGAAAAGGTGGTGAATGTATTTTTGGCTCCGAGCCGTCGTTCTGGGAAGCCGATGAATCGAATCCGTTATTCAGATTAGGGCGACCTTTTTTCCGCCACTTTTAGTCACGAAACAGATGGAAATATTTATAGGTCTCCATCCGCGTTACCTTGTTCTCCCGCGCTCTCAAGTAGACGCTCACCACGCAGTTGACCAGGCCGTAAATACTGCCAAAACAGCTGCCCACAAACATGACCAGGTAGACGCCGCCCAAATTAGCAAATCCCAGCGAGGAGGCATCTGAGTCGGGGGCTTCCTGTGGGTTTTTCGGAGGGTGTCGGAGATGTCAATGTTTTAAAGTGTGTGTGCAATAAAGGCGGGCAGCTAATCGGATCGTGAGGCGGGGTATTCTCGAAGCTGAAATATACCCTGGCGGATACCTGGTTCTCATCGCTGCGCTCCTTTACGCCCAGCACCATCTCGAGCAGGGACACAAAGATGCCAAAGAAGGAGCCCACTCCCATCACCAGGAAAACACCGCCCAGGTTACTAATCTCTAGGGCCACGGCGCCAGAGTCCTCGTCCGAATCCTGCACACACCCACACTTGCACGAGCTGCCAGAGATTGAGATTAGGCTGGTCACTTACCGAACATGCTCCCCCGCCGCGTTTCTCCTGCCACCACTTGGTCTTCATCTTGGTCAGCAGTCCCTGCTCCTGCATCTCCAGAACAGCCTGGCTCAACGTGTCCCTATACGGCCAGTCTGAAAACACAGATCTTGGTCAGGATGTGTCCCGATATCACTTACACTCTCAGCTGTCTACTCTTTCGCATGGCTATGCCGTATCCCTTCTCGTCCAGCAACGCGCCCACCTGGGTCAGCGTGCATCGACGCTCTGTGATATACTCTATGGTGGTCGACTCCATGAGAAAGGCGTAGTTGGAGTTCTCCACGCGATCAACTCCCTCCTGGTTGGTATTGGTCATGTACTGCGGATTATCCCTCATGAACTCGTACATTCGCTGGTAGGTTGGATAGTTTGATTCCTGAAAAAAGAACATTCATACACGATATTGTATAAAGACTTTAACAGATAACCTTATACCAGATACCTTAAAAAAGTTAAAAGTAGCTCCCCCAATTTTGGCACCGTAGTTTACACCGCCCTTGTTCTTCGATAAGTCATCCGCATCATTAATGGGCGTTACTAAGGACTCCACTGTGAGAAAAGCCGCCAAATTAGCAGTGTAAGAGGAGACCAGAATCAATGTGAAGAACCACCAGGAAGCGGCCACGGCCCGAGTTGAGTAAGCCCTTAAAAACGATATTAGATAAAACGCACAAACTATAATATACTCCATATACAAATAGGGCTTACTTGGGAGCCAGCTCAGATCCTTGCTGCAGTAAAGCACCTATGGAGAACCACAGACAGTTGGCGAAACTGAACTGATTCTCCAACTCCGTTGGCTCCTCTATGCAGGGATACGGATTGTCCCACTCCGCCGGAGAAAGTCGTCCCAGCACGAACATGCTGATGGATACGCCCATGTAGGCCAGACCCAACCAGAGCCAGACCTCCCCTGAAAACGGAGACATGAAGGAGAACAGCTTCGGTGGCTCCTTCATCGGTTTGCGAAAGAGGATGCCGATTCCTGGAATTGATTCGTGCTTTAGAATAATCAGCTACAAAATCAGTAATATTTAAAATTTTAATGGTTTGCACGTTTTCAAGGGCCTAGTATCAGATTTAAGTCTTATTTATCATAGAAAATAATAAAATATAAAAATAATATAGATATATTTTATTAAATGAATCAAATTATATTTCATGAGACACTTTGATCGGTATACTCTACTTATTTACTTGCAGAATGAAATGTAGTGCTCTTACCCAGACTCATAAAGGGTATGGTGAAGTCCACGCCACTCTCTCGTTCCGATGTCATGGTCAGATCCGTAATGCCCATGTCAGCGCGCTAATTAAATATGAAAGATTATTGTTTGGCCTCTCTGTATCCACGAACTCATGAATTTATTAATAGAAATGTATATGCATATGTAAATATTGCGCATACGCCCGATTGAGCATTGTAATTGGACAATGTTTAAAATATGCATTTTTGCTAAGCGCGGAAATTTATGGAAGAAGTCGAAAAACTATGTAATATTTAATGTAATTACACGCCTTTCATCCGTCATTATCAATATTTTAGCTAATTTAGCATTTACGTAAATGAGTTTCAATTATCAGGAATTGTTTACCAATAATATAACGCTTACAAATAGGTGCAGGGTAATTCCAGATGTGATTAGACTGATTACCTATAAATGACACTTGCCGTGAAATTAACTGTTAGTTTCTAAAACCCTATCAAGCAATGGGATTTTATATTAGCAGCTTGCTGATATGCGTATTCTTAGGCATAGTTCGATTCGCAAGTGCAGGCACATACAGTTCAAGTTATGAGGCACATAGAAATTACTTGCTTAACATTTTTCACAATCCATTTGTGAATGACTCCATTAAGGAAAGAAATATTCCGGAGCTAATCGCTTTCTATCATCGCTATCCCACAGAGGTTCCTCTATCCGACGAAGACAGGCAGCAATTTGAAAGGTTTATTCATGACTACAGAGAATACCGGAGAGTTTTGATTGATGGTGTTCCACCTCAAGGAGGAAGTTTTGGAAATATATTCGGACATTTCCTAGGCAGAGTCGGAACGCGGTATATTTTGTCTCTGTTTAATAAGCAAAGGGAGGAAGGCCTATCCAACCAAGCTACAAATTCCACAATACCACCTTTAAGGATTCAATACTTAACTAAATTATCATGATCTATAACATATCTTGCCTCATGTACTTTCATGCTATTGATACTTTCTGGATCTTAAAAGTGTTGACATGGTCATTTTGAAATTGTAAACATTAATTCTTGCTTGCAAACCTTTTGAAATCGATTTATAAATAAACTAATTAATACCACTCACATTGTAGTTGCATTTTAAACGTTTAGACTGGAGAAAGCATATTTGGATGCTTAAGATATTCATCTTGCTGAATTATATACAAATACATAATTAAATTTGCTAATAAGTGGAATTAATAAACTTATCAAGCCGTCCAAGTGCCAAAAATACTATGAGGAAATATCTGATTAATCGCTTAACTATAAACCCAATTAATTTGAATCAATTAAGGCCACAGGCACTCTGAAATAGCCATTTATGACGGCAATAACGCTTACGTTAACAATGATGGCATCATTTATGGCTATTCAATGCAAATCAATAACCACGCAGGACGAACATGGGATAAGCTAACTGATTTAAATGGCCGCTGAGCAACGGATGTGGACTAGATTTATGTGCCTCCAGGACTTCACGACCTTCGCCAAAACTCACACTGTCAATAATCTCGCGCAACATGCCATTCCATTCGCCGGTTTTGGGATCGATTCCACCATACTTGTTGTCCTCCTGGAGGCGCCACGTGTACGAGAAGCCCAGCTTCTTGGACAGCTCGTCGATTAGCTCGATGCCGAAGCCCTCAAACTGATCGTTGCCCTCCAGCTTCTCGGAGGTCTCCTTTAGCATGCCATAGGGTTCACTCTGCGATTTCGCATTTCACAAACAAGGAGAAGGAAAGTCAAGGTCAGCTTGGCCCCAGACCTTTATGCCCACTACTCACAATGGCCGTGATGACGACGAAGCTTTTGTTCACCAGCGAACGCATATCCGGCTCCAAGGAGTGCGCCGGGGCAGGGCGATTCTCCTGGAAGCCATCCTCGCCGCTCCATTGTCCGATTTTCTGCATCCCCGAAACGGCCAGCTCGATGACTTCCAGCTCGAAATCCGTGCGGAGTCCCTCGTAGTCAAACCGAATGGGTCCCGTGAGGCCATTCAGCGTTAGCTGCGGACCGAGACTCGTTGCATGAGTTATTCAGAATCAGAAAGTTTTTCGTACAGAGAGAAAAAGTTCACCCAAACAGTGAAATGCACGTTAGAAACAAAAGTTTTATAAGGGCTTTAAATTTGTATGAAAGTTAAGTTGAAGATCTATAAGATTAAATGCCGTATTTTTAGACAGAATATTATACGAGTTCCCATAAACAAACTAACGCGTATTGAATTACAGTAGAAAACCGAATCGTTATAAGATTTCGTTATAAAGAACAGGCCAAATATCTATATATGTATAGATAATAATAAATATGCCAAACATCTAACTCAGATAAAGTGAGCCATTGCCTCTTTTGTGATAATTTATATATTCAAAATGTCTTGATTAGCTTTGTTGGATTGTCACGCCACTTCAAGTACCTCCCTGTGCCCCAGACTCACCGACTTCATGTAGTTGACGAGAGTGTAGCCCTTGTCCCAGGCACTGTCATCGTTACAACTGAGGGCCACGGGCCGGAAGTTCACATGCTTGTAGGTCTCGGCCAGAAGCTGGACGCCATCGTAGACCAGGGCCATGCTGTTGGTCAGGGGGCAGGACACTGTGGAGGAGGAGTTATAAAGACTAACGTCATTTATCATTTCCACCAGCGCTGGGGCCATGAAAGTGCAATTCAATTATTTAAATTCAGCCAAGCGAATGGATTTTGGATTTGCATAAATTGTCTAGATCCCAGTGGCACGACACTTTCAGGTGGGGCTGTCATTCTTATTTGATTTACCGTTTTGGAAGGGTTCCTCACTCTCGTAAAGTGCCTTTGCCACCTCCTGCACCTGTTCGTTATCCGGCGACACGACGCGCAGACCCGTGATGTTGGTTCCGGCGTGTTGGTACGGCTCCAGGTCCATGGTGTGCCAGTCCAGGTTGCCGATGATATAGCGGTAGTCGCTGGTCACCAAACCCACCTGCTGGGCTTGCTTGAACAACTCTGGCAGAGTGGCCATGGATCCCACTACCACGAACGAGAAATCATCCGCATTGCGTATACGCCGCAGTACATTCCGGTAGTTCCCGTTCAGATCAAGCTCGTAGCGTCGGACCGTGACCGTGGGTCCAGCGGTGCCGTACATCTGCAGCAGTTCCCTCACGGTGGCCAAGTACTCGCCCGACTCGTAGATGATGGTGAAGCTTTCCCACCCCAGGGCCACCACCATGTCCCGCAAGGCCACGCCCAGCGTTGCTGGATGTGGGTGCAGATTGATGGTCGGCAACTGGGCCCCAAAGTCCCAGCGCGTGTCTAAAAAGGGCAGCTCCTTGGCGTCGCAGATGCTCATCGCGTGACGGGCGGCCAGATTCGAGGTGGGTCCGAACACTGCCACCAGATTTTGCTGTGCGTGAGTGGATAATAATGATTTTAATAAATGCATATCCCTAGGTACGCTTGCTTTGAACTATACCTTTAGCATTTTGCAGAGCTTCTTGGAGGTCTCGAAGGAGTTTCCTGGCTCAATGGAGACGGACACTCCGTGCAGCTGCAGATCCTCGTTCTCCTCATTCGCCTTGCTGATGGCCAGATGGAAGATCTTCTCTAGATCCGGTTCGGTGATCTCGTAGACGAGGCCTGCAATCAAAAAGTATTTCAGAGAGAGTGACACATTTTCGCTCTTTGTTTTGCTTAGCGGGTTCTGTTTATATTTTTATTTCGCGAATTCGCCGCCGCCATCGGCCAACGGCGCGTATGCGGCATAAAAATACATGACACCTTTACATGCTGCTGTGCAAATTCCTGCTTACGTAAGTTAAGCGAAAAATGCGCTTTACTTACCCACATTCGTCCTCTCTCCTTGGCATCCGAGAAAACCCAATAGCAAGCTCGTTAGGATGAATCCAAGCGGAAAACTCGCATCTGCTGAAATCGTTTTCCCGAACCGCATCTCTCAAAGGGCTTTTACCGCGAATCGTAATCAAAAATTCATAAATATTTTCTGCGGTTGACGCGCAATGAATTCCGCAATTATTTCCAATTAATTGCGCGATTGTTCGTCGAACTAAATTTGCACATTTCTGCAGGCTGTCCGCCGCCACCGGGAATGCAAATAAAAATGGCTAAGAGCACAAAAATACGGCCAACAGCAATTTGCTGTTGGTGCTGCAGCAGCTGATAAATTCGCCTCGAGTATTTTTAACCACTCTTAGGTTTTTGTGAATGAAAGTGCTTGGCTGCCCGAAAATGTTTTTCCCAAACTTTCTCTAATTAAATCACACTTGGGTGATGGATTAATTAGATAAACTTTACCTTTTTGGGGCCAATTCAACCCTGAAAAGGATCCGTACAAAGTGCCGGACTGTGCTGAAAGTTGAAAATAAATCCGCCGCAGTATCAAAACGTGCACAGCATACGATTCCACGGCTAATGGAACCGAGCAACGAGACCCTGAATGCCAGATACATACATATATCTAACTGAATTAGGAAAAAACAGAAATAAACAAGGCGAAAACGAAAATAGCCAAGTGCAGGGGTTGCCCAAAGGGGCCAAGAGATTGAAAACAGCTTTCAACCGAAATTGTTGTGGATCCACGGACGTGCAACAAGCATCGATAAGTGCAGAACAGAAATAAATGAAAAAGAAGGGTCTGTCCCAATGGCTGTAAACAAATTCATTGCATTTCACTTGGATTGGTTGGTAGTTGGGTGGTACTAGGGTGCCAAGCCATTACATCTGGCCAGGGACGTGCGACCCACTTGTGGATTTTTGAAGGCCCAGCACGATTTATGGACCAGGCTTTGAATAATCCATTTAGAGCATGCAAAGCAGGGTAACTGGGCTGGTCCCAAGCATCTCATATTTTTAATAATGATGGGGCTGAAATATAAAAAATTACTACAAAAAGCTGCTCTTGCATATACTGGCATCCATGCCGGAAGGTTTTTGTGTTCCCCACTTTCGGGCATGTCCTTCACACACACAATGCCGTCAAAAGGACGAAGGCCGGGCGCCGTTAAAGGGGCGTGGACGAGCATGTTCGCCAGCAGCAAACTGTTGCTGTCAGCAATGAATAAAATCAACGTCTCCGTCAACAGCAGGCACCTGCCGTGACTGCCGCCAGGATGCACTTATCCCCGAGCTGCACATTTAAAATTAACAACCTCTAGTCCTGTCTGGAAGTTGCTAGAAATCCCCGATCGCGTGACAACTCAAACTTTAAGAAGCACTTGAATTTATTTTTCTGAAGTTTGCGTTATCTATGAAATTAAAACTGCTAAGCATTAAACTTTATTTTTTTATTTAAAAGCCCTTAAATAAAGATGGAATATTGCATCGATGGTTAAAAAATGTTTGTTTGAGGTATTTAAATTTAGATGGAAACAAAGTCATTATATTTTATTTTAAAAAGAAACTTTTTGAGAACATTTGTGATATCAACAATAAAAAAAACAAAAATACAATAATGAAATAATGAAATATAGAAAAATTAAGTGAAATAAATACCATTTGATGTTAGAGGGATTCCTAAATATCATCTGAGTTTTGAATCTAATAATCGATAATCAATCTGTGGTATCTGTATGAGGGTATCTCCAAGACCACGCTTTTCTCCTACATTTCTCTGCTGCTTGTATTTTGCCACTGGCATGGTGTTAAATTGCCCAGCAGCGAAGCGCGTGCATTTGCATTTACATAACAGTGTGCCGGCGTCAATGTATCTTAAGGATACGCATTCTGGCACTCACTGCGTGCCTGGGCGTGCATTTTAAGCTAGGAATGGAGAACTGCTGGCATTATGCACACGAGCAAGAGGACGCATATCCACGGGCTTACTTAACCACACGGGCACTGGTTGCATTTGCATAAGTGTCCGCGATGAGTTCTCTAGTGGCAATTAGTGAGAGTCTCTAGTTTTCAATCTGTGGACGAAAGTGGATCGATCATATTTTAAAGAATTAAGAACGTCTTGAATGTCACGAAATTTTATGCGCTACGTCTGCGTACTTCATACATACTTCATTTTAGTTTTTACTTCTTGGCTAAAATTTCCATTTATTAATTGTATTAGAATCTGTTTAATTCTGTTCATTACCTG